TTCCGATGTTAACGGTCATCGGAGACAGTTATCCTATCACTACTCAATCCTGGAACTTCAGTCTGTGGTACAACCCCCTCCAAGCATTGGATCTATGCTAGGACCGCAGCGTTGGAGGGGGCTTGGTGGCGGATTCCTACAGTTCTGGTCTGTGGTACAACCCCATCCAAGCATTGGATCTATGCAGCGTTGCCGGGGGCTTGGTGGCGGATTCCTACAGTTCTCAACTTGACGCCAGGTAAAACTGAATGCTCCTACAGACCGGAAGCTTAGTGGATCCGAAAGGTCGAAGAGATTGACGTAATCATTTTTCATGAACCCCGGAGCCCTCTTGCTAACGAAACTATCGCGGACCAGGATGACTCTGATAACCGGCTAAGAATATTTGGATCATTGAGCACGGTACTTCGAACAATTCATTTGGCCACCTTCTACCTGCAATTCGACCATTAACTGGAATTTTGATGGAATACAGAGCCCTCTTCAGCCTAAGAAGTGTTCGGGTGCGTGTCTACCGAAGTGCCATCGTCATCATGGTCCTGGAGACCTACCTATTCTGTTCAAGGTTGACAGTGGATTTCCAAGCCAGTGTCTGTCCAGCGCATATGTGACTATCCGGAAGAAATAGACCATCCCAAACAACTATGGTCAGTCGATGAGGGTGACCATTTAAAAAAAGTTCATTGGATCTGGGAACCACGAGAAGTGAACATTGCCACCGTAACAAGGCTTCTGCAACAACACACGAATCCTTGGTCCGTGAGCATGAAGCGGCATCTCGATCGGGTATAGACTGCGCCAACCACATCTTACGCCGTTAGGTGTTAGTGTAACACCATTTGTACAGACAACGCGCAATATTGATCCTCCGGAAATTTAAGGACACGTTCGATTGTTTCGATCGGTCAGTACTCTAAACGACACTTGCTCAACAGGGGATGCTTAGGAACTTTGGAGATAATCCAGTTACATACTTCTCGGCCCCTGAGAGTGTATGGCAAGCTTTCGAAAAGCTTTGTATTAAGTGGTGCCCACTCTCTACATTCTTGTTAAACTTCGTCGAAGAACTGAATCCTGGAAGATCCTTAAAGCCCCCGGTGTTCAAATCGTTGCTGATGAAAAACTTGCCGATCTGGAGTACACAGACGACATCGTCCAAGACCAAGCACAAGTTCTCTTGGATAAACTTACCATCAGCATACCCTCTTTCAGCACGCACCTTCAAAATACAAATTCGTGCTTCAGAACGTGGAGTTTCACAGCCTACCCCTTGTAATTCAGGATGCAATGGAAGCTATGATGAGTTTTACTCACCTAGATAGCTGTGATATCTCTGAAGGTGTGCCTGATAAAGTCTGCACGGATCTTAAAGGTCCGGATCACGCTTTCGGATTTGCCACTGGTGTGCCACGGCCAGATGAGCTTTACTAACATTGGGACGTGTGTTCCGTATTCAGGAAGAAGAATGTGTTCCAGGGAATCGGAGGTAATCTTTGTTCGTACCCGCTTTCTGAAAGAGGCGTAGGTCCCACACCTGGCCACTGGCCCCATATTGCGACACCTGACTTCGAGATGTGAAACTCAAGCCCGAAAACATCAAACAGGACTTCGACGCGTAATGTGACGACATTCTTACACTACGTCACCAGCTTGGGCAGCGCCACGCATACCGCTTACCAGAAATCGCGGTTTTCCTAGACCTTAACCCAGCCTTCGATTCCGTTGACAGATTGGCTCATCTGGATATGCTTCTTCAGAGGTAGATGGCCACGGAGTTCGTAAACACTCTCCTTATCACTTATTCTCATACCTCCGGTCGGGTTGTGTCCTATATTTAACTGTCCAGCAGTTTCCTCGCAACTATTGGGATTTGTCATTGTTCCGTCATCATCGAAATCAGTGTTCAACACTGATGCTTCGCTGCTGTACAATAAACGATGGTTGTACGTCTTCCCTTGTAGGGTTGATGAATCTGTTCGTCTTGCATCAGCTTTGCGTGCAACATCTGCTCGAAGTTTTCAGCAGCCTTGTGAGTAATTTCCTCTATGAAAAAAATCTGCTCATCACATTGTTCCGCTCTCTCTCCTTTTTCAACTTCCTGGTGGTTTTTGTCGTGGAGTGCACATTACGGAAATCACGTCTGGAGAAGAAAATCATTAAGCTGTAGCACCTTTTCGGTGCCATGCCACCCGAATATTGCACGAGGGCCTCCAGTTATGTTTGCGATTGGATGGTGGGCCAAAAAACGACTGTCCTGTTGGTGAGGAGTTCGACCGAATAATAGCTGGGAGATTTAGTGGCTAATCTCATCCAGGGATACCGCTGCAGCACCTCAGGATGCCACAGTGTGTCTCTCAATACTGGGAAGCTTTTAGACAAGCTTGGCTGATGCGAGATGGCTGACCGGAAGGATCGTGGTTAGAAACCCGGCCTCTGCATTTCGACTTCCTGTCTAGGCTTGGGCAACCTGGCAATATCCCATCCCTCGCGCTTCCTTCGATTGACATGGCTATTAGGCACCGAAAGAATGCTACGGTTGAACGGCTGATGCATGATGTGAATAATTCGACAAGTGAAGGTACCAGACAGACCTTTCCAGTATACGATTTATTCGCTTTGCCAGTTTGGCTATTACAGAAAATCATTGAAACTAGTTACCTGCTAGTGAAGCATGATTCACCTTGAACGGGCACAAATAACTGGTAGTTGACGAATAGTTATATCGAGTATGAAGTGTTAAATATGGATGTCCAAATACTCCGCTCAAATAAGCAAACAGCATGACGAAACTGCCTGTAATAGCGTTTACGTATGAATGCCCCCTCACCGCTGCCTCATATACGTCAACGAAGCAATAGAAGAAAATCGCCATACAGTAGTTGTAGCGACCAAGCATCCACGGTGTGCCAGCCGCAGTTAGAACCACCCGGACGTTTCTTGTGTTGCTCCCAGTCAGCTTCAGAAATTCAGTATCGCTCAAGAGTTGGTTACTAATTTCATTGTCATTTTCCACTTGGACGTAAATAACTAAAGGAAAATTATGAAGTCCACATGAAACAAAACAGGCGCATTAGCACAAAGCGTTCAGTTTGACATAATTAGGTAATTTCACAGGACTTCTCATCACAGCTTTTTTCATGCATCCAGTGGCTCTGTGTCCATTAATTCATTCACTGCTAAAGACCCTGTTCATGCTAATGGCATGCCCAGCAATATTAACCAGCGACCCTTTGATGGTTTGTATCCGGACTGCTGGCTGGACAGCCTGGTAACAGAATCCTCCGACGCAGGGACTAGGGCCTGGTTAATGTCTTTAGCAAACAAAATTCGGGGGCGACTGGGTGTCTTGGTGCGGAAGCAGTTACGGTCATTCAGTAGTGTAGTCGAATAGCCCTCACGTTGCTCAGAATAGACAACCATAACGGCCCCTCTAGTGAGACCCCTACTGTAAGCTCTGTTAACTTGAAACGGCTGACCACCTCGTGAGATGACTGAAGCCCACATAATCATTAAAAATCAATTCCACTTGCTATGGCCCAGAAGCGATGTGTGAACCATGACCAGTTATGTATTTAATTGAGATACATATGCCAACAACTCGGAAACAAAGGACCGGTTAATTTACTGGACACAGCGAAACAAACTCAACTCATTGGTACACCAGATAAGGAACGAACAAGCTAGTTTTCAGTCCGACCACTAAGAAAAACACGCCGTTAATATGGATTGGGTGAACATTGCGAGCGATCCTTTCCAGACCGTCGTCCCATTTATGAACAGCTATATAAAATGTTACGACCGCTCCACCGGACATCAGAAATATGGGTCGCCAGGAGAGGCTCCTACAAGACCAACTGGTTGAAGCGGCCGGGTAGTCCTGAACACACTGACTGATGATACTTCTCATGGGTTTTGTACCCAGTGGAGTGCTCCGTTGGGTGACAAACATTTATTCGAAATAAGGGCCGTCCCTATTGTTTGATAATGCACACGCGCAGCTGGATACTGCAAACCCAGAGAGTGGAAGTAGCTTCACGCCGTAAGGTGCTGACGGAATACATCTGGTGTGAATAAATGTTTAGTGCAACGGTGTTCTAGTGTTCAGGAGAGCTGTTACGATGAGTAAGTGGTTGAAGTATGGCAAAGAACCCTACAGAACCGACGCAACAATCCCTTACATCAAGTGCGCCGTGTCGTGTTCACAATTCATCCGTTTACATGGAGGGCATACACATGAAGGGTCCCAATACAATTTTTTTCGCAGCAACGTCAAAATAAAGCCTTACCAGGCCAGAAGCCGGCGCGTAGGGGCGAATCGAAGAGCTTTGCTCGAAACAATCTCCACTTAAACAGCACCAACACCCCGAAATGACCAAGTAAATACAGTTCAGTATACACATGAAGGGTCCGAATACAATTTTTTCCGCAGTAACGTCAAAATAAAGCCTTACTAGGCCAGAAGCCGGCGCGTAGAGGCAAATCGAAGAGCTTTGCTCGAAACAATTTCCACTTAAACAGCACCAGCACCCCGAAATGACCAAGTAAATACAGTTCCAAGAGCACGTTTGCAGAGATTGAGGCCTTGATGCTCCCCAGAACAACGGAAACGAGCACCACCAATATACTGTACGGATATTCCTGAAGACACATGGCCAAAAAACAGCTGCAATGGGAATTTCGAAAAAACCTGCCTGCTGAAGATGCGATAACGGTGCGTGGGGATGTATTTCATGTACATAATTACACAACGTCGAGTGCGATCACTTTCAACGAATGAAAACATGTCGGCCGTTTGTAGCCGTATTGAACTCTACGGTTTACGGACGATCACTAACCGAAAAGCCGGCAAAAATACAACGGAATATGCGTGGTCAGTTAGGAAGAGACAGAACATGCAATATGCGGAGAAATTCCATGACGAGTTAACCTGTTGAGTGACGAATAGAATTGTTTGATTGGGAGTTAGCGCACTCCACTTCACAGCACTGACTGAGACTGAGCTATCCGCACTCAACTGCGGTGGCTGAGAGTGTTACTGAGCCAATCAAGGCCCTCATAGAGACCAGTTCCATTCGTAGCGCATGTTGCTTGGATGAACCAAGTACGATTCCGGAGGGTGTGAAGCCCGAGCTTATCCGTGACATCTGCTGCAGACATCGCCTGTGGTAAATCCTATGGATTGCAAAATAGATCTACCATATGAATGAACAAACCTGTTTGTTAGCAAAAACGAGTAGGACGGCATCACGCAGTTCGTCTTCGTTCAACATTCGGGAAAGCTCCTCGCGGGCTTCCCCTATTCTTTCGTAGTCGTTACTATCCACCACAAAAATCAAGCCTACGCAAATTAAGTTTACCAAATCTGACCAACCTTGCGTGTTTTGGAAATAATGCCTCCAAAGTGGCCTAATTTTGTCCTGACCACCAACATCCCACACTGTAAAACTGATGTTTTTGTATTCAACGGTTTCAACGTTAAACCCGATGGTTGGGATTGTGGTTACAATTTCGCCCAACTTCAATTTGTATAGGATGGTAGTCTTCCCAGCAGCGTCCAGTCCAACCATTAATATCCTCATTTCTTTCTTCCCAAACAGCCGATTGAACAGGTTAGAGAACATCTGACCCATGGTCTGAAAGGTTACGTTGTGTGAGAAATAGCTGTTAGTCGACGTACGGTGAAAAATAACTGAAGGAAAGAACGGACAGAAATAGAAGAAGCGATACGCCAACGTCACCGAGCTAGGAGGATTGCGCCAATTAAGTAGTGGACCCCCATTCAGCCGGGTAAAACAAACTTTTCAGTTGGTCCGTTAACTAAAAAACCATGGATAATTGACGTTTCCGGTGCAAGGCTGATCGGAAATAGTGTAGCTGATTGCGAACTAAACCACGGTTGGCGCATCATTTGAATATAAGAGCTGTAACGCATTTGAAACTCGAATGTATACTTTTCAGTCGTTAACTCAAAAAAACCATGGGTAATTGACGCTTCCGGTGCAAGGCTGATCGAAAATAGTGTAGCTGGTTGCGAACTAAACTAAACTTGGCGCA